TGAAGAGTTCCACACTGAAGTGGTTAACATGGGTTTTAGAGCAAGGCACTTGTAGGCTATTTCCTGACACAGACCAATAAACCTAATTGTTGCTTCTTTAAAAACAAAAAAAACCTCCATGTTTATCATTTCGATCGGTTTCTAAGTTTTTGTTAAAAAAGAAATGAGTGTGTGTGTGCTTGTTCAGTATGTAAGGAGGGGTTTGTTGTTTTTGAGCATGTGTGGGTCACTGGCAGTTACTGCATGTCTAGGATCCCTTCCTGAGTAATGTGATTACTGTCAAGACTGTATGCTGGGTTTCATGTTACAGGTTATCTGCTTGAAAATAACAGAAGGCCTGAGCATATGAGTGGGTTTTAAAACTAGCCCGCTATTGGTAGGGACACAACAGATCACAGCCAAGACTTGCCTGAGTTTTCTGCCAAAGCCTGCGTCAGATTTAAGACACATGCTTCTGCGAGCTTGTGAAAAAAAAAAAAAAAAAACACAACCCAAACGTGTTAATCTCAAATTGGGATTGGGGTTTTCTACAGCTCCAAACCTCAGCATCTGATGCGCCGCCTCCATAAAAAGGAACTGGAACGTGGGGCGTAGAGTGGAGAGATGTTTTAAATTTGCTGGACAGGAAATGGATTGAGCATGCTTCACAAGTTCTGGTAGAAGATATGTCCACTTCTTGATTAATTTTTGAGAGCATGAGAACATTATACTTCCTTTTTTTAAATTTCTCTGTCCCTCTCCTCCCCGACAAGACTGTGCAAAAATCTACCTTGCCTAATTGAAGTCATTTCATTGGATTTTGATCACAACTGACTTGTTACTATTTTTTCTACGTGAAGTTCAGGGGTTTCAAACTTTCTTTCTGGAAAAGTTTGAAGTGATTTTCTCCTTCCGCCTGATGTCAACTGCTTGCTAATCAGTGGATATTAAACTATTCAAAATGTACACACGGTGGGCAATGGCGAATATTTTCCTGATGTTTTACCTGTACCTGGTACAGGGCTCCAATTATGAACATGAACCAGCTAAGGTAGGTGAGCACCATTTTTAACGGGGTTAGAATTTAGTAAGCTTTTTATGAGCTTTTGTGGAAGACTTTCTTTCTTTGCCCTTACTATTTCTGATAAAATCTAAAAATGTAGCGCATTTGAATAGTTTGTCAGGGGCTGTTCTGTTTCATGTGATACTCTAAGATTCTTGGCCCGAATGTTTAAAATGTTTTTCTAGCTTGTGAACATTCTGGACTCTTAGCAGGTGGGGTATTATCCCCTTACTGTATATACAAATGACACAGTGGTTTTTATGACACACATAACTTTGTGGGTGGTTTTGTCTGTTTGGTTTGTGAAGCAGGGAAGGTTTATTTGCTAAGTTTATTTCTTCTGAAAATCCAGAATTATACTACTTTTATTCAGACATTTTCACTCTGTCTTGCAAACTACTCGTTGCCATAATCTATAAAAAAAAAAGTGTTTTCTTGCATGTTGCTTTCTTTAGATTTTTGTAAAATGAAATAAATATCAATTCTAGAAGGCAATTGAGAGTAATGCCAAAAAAAAAAAACCCACAAAAAACCTGAGTTGTTTTTTTCCCAATGTTATGAATGTCGTGGATTGTATCAAGTTTATTTTCAAGCTTTTTACTGTGAAAATGGTTTCCGATGTATTCATTTTGTCTGCACCGGTGCTAAGTCATTGATTTAGGATTTCGGGCTGTAAACAGATTACCAAATGTTTCTCTGTGGGATTCTCAGTGGAGGTGATAGTGCCACCAGTGGGGAAAAATTGGTACTTGGCTTATGAAAATTTGTTTTGTTTTGTTTTATGTCTAAAACTCGGATATACATAAAGCCCCTAAACAGACAGAAAGTATATATTTGATATTACAATTTCATGGGGAGGCAGTTGGGGGAAAATGTCTAAAAAGACTTCTAGGGAGAGGAGAGATTGACCACGAGAAGGGATTTAGCAATATTGTGTCAGGGTTGGGAGGCACCTTGCTCACACTCCGCACATTTCTCACTTTTTAAATCCCAACGGTACATGGGAGAAATCACAGGCGTTCCGCCCACCCCTAACTCCCATCAGCCTGGCTGTGAACTCTCAGTGCCCAATTGTAGGACAAAAGCAAGCCGATTTTGCACATAGGTAACTCGTTTGAAGAAAATAAGACTCCAGATTGTTCATTGGCATTTTTTGTGAGTTTGTTGTTGTTTTTTAAGTCCATGAAAACTCAGAAATTTGTTAGATGTGCTGGGCTCAAAACTTTTTAAATGCTCCCATTTTATAGTTTAAAATAGCAACTTACTGGGTGGTGCAGTCAATGCCCTGGAGCTCTGGTAGTGTAGTCGTTACAAGTCAGGCTACTAATCTCAAGGTCAGCAGTTCGAAACTACCAGCAGTTCTGTGGGAGAAAGGTGAGGCTTTCTGCTCCTGTAAAGATTTACAACTTCGGAAACCCTGTACAGGGTTGCTATGAGTTGGATCCGACTCCACGGCACATAACAACAATAACATCCATCATTCCACGTCCTCATCTGAAGTTAGATTGACGCTCTGGCAGTTCGCTATCAATCTACTGCTGCTACTGTTTTTAAATTATCCTTAGTAAAATTGTACTTGCATATGATATTAACGATATTGTCCGATGATTTCCACATTCTGTTGGGTCACCTCTCTTTGGAATGGGCACAAATGTGGTTCCCTTCTAATCAGTTTTTGTCTTCCAGATTTCTTGGTATAGATGGGTGTGCCTTCAGCGCTGTATCAGTTTGTTGAAATATTTCAATTTGTATTCCATCAATTCCAGAAGCCTTGTTCTTTGACAATGTCTGCAATGCAACTTGGACTTCTTTCTTCAGTACCATTGGCTCTTTTTTATTTATTTTTTTAAGTTTTTATTGTGAATTGAGTGAAAGTTTACAGGGCAGATCATCAGTTTTACATTCAACAAATCATATACTTTATTTCATTACAATTATAATCCCCTCCATGTACCATCAGTTAACAGTATTTCTCCATATTCATTTTAGCTCTTTTTTTTTTTTTAACACTCAGGCATATATAATAATTTCTAACACCAAAAGGCATTATTTTGCAAGTCTGCCTCCTGGCCGCCTCTCTTTCCTTGAATCTAGAGTCCTCAGCTGCTCCCTCTCTCCATGTCCACATCTCTGCCTCCATCCCTGGTGTTGCTGCTTCTCTGGATAGGATCCCACATTCCACTTTGCTCTTCTCCCTTGAATGTCCTAGGGTCCTCTGTTTCTGGACTGTAAGGTTAACTACTCCTCACCATTGGCTCTTGATCATATGCTAACTCTTAAAATGAATGACCATTAACCATTTCTTTTTGGTACACTGACTCTATTTATTCCTCCCTTCAATATTTTTCCCATAGAATCCTTCAATATTGCAAGTCAAGGCTTGATTTATTTGTTCTCTTCAGTTCTTCCAGCTTGAGAAATGATGAGCATGTTCTTCCCTTTTGGTTTTTTAACTCCAGAGCTTTGCACATTTCGTTATAACACTGGGCTTTGTCGTCTTGAGCTGATCTTTGAAATTTTCTGTTCAGTTCTTTTTACCTCCTCATTTCTTCCATGTGCTTTAGCATCTGTACCCTGCAGAGCAAGTTACAGAGTCTCTTCTGACATCCATTTTCGTCTTTTCTTTCTTCCTCGTCTTCTTAATGACCTTTTGCTTTATTCTTGTATGATATTCATCTCATAACTCTTTTGGTCTTCGGTCATTAGTGTGTAATGCATCATATCTCTTCTTGATATGATCTCTAAATTCAGGTGGGATATGTTCAAGGTCATATTTTGGCTCTCGTGGACTTGCTTTACTCTCCTTCAGCTTCAGCCTGAACTTACTTGTGAGCAATTGATGGTCTGTTCCGCAGTCTGCCCCTAGCCTTGTTTTGGCTAATAATATGGAGCTTTTCCACCATCTCTTCCCACAGATGTGGTCAACTGATTTCCGTGTATTCTATCTAGTGAGGTCCATGTGTTGTTTAAAAAAAGTATTTGCAATGAAGAAATCATTGGTCTTGTAAAATTCTATCACACAATCTCCAATATCATTTCTATCACCAAGGTCATATTATCTAACTACTGATTATTCCTCTTTGTTTCCAACCTTTGGATTCCAATTCCCAGTAATTATCCGTACATCTTGATTTGATGTTTGATCAATTTCAGACTGAAGAAGTTGGTAGAAGTCTTCAATTTCATCATCACTGGCTTTAGTGGTTGATTAATAATTTGAATAATAGTTGTATTAAATGATCTTCCTTGTAGGCATATGGATAGTATCCTATCACAGGCAGTATTTTACCTCAAGATAGATTTTGAAATGTCTTTATGATAATGAATGCAACCCTATTCCTTTTTAATTTAAAGGCATAGTAAATCATATGATTGTAGGTTTAAAATAGCCAATACCAATCCATTTCAGCTCACTAATGCTTAGGATATCAATCTTTATTTGTTCCATTTCATTTTTGACAAGTTCAAATTTTTGTAGATTCATACTTTGTGCATTCCATCCATTACTAATGGATGTTATCGCTGGTTCTCCTCATTTTTAATTGTGCCCCATTAGCATCATCATGGTCAAGTCTAGTTGGAGGAGGCAGCTCTTCCCATGTTGTATTTTGAGTGCCTTCCAACCTGAGGGGTTCATATTCCAGCACTATATCTGACACTATTCTGGTGCCATTCACAGTATTTCCGTAGTCCATAGTCTGGTGCTATCTGACAATGTTCTAAGGTTTTCAGTGACAAAACATTCAGAAGTAGCCTGCCTCTTCTTCTTCCTAGTCTGTGTTAGTCTGGAAGCTCAACTGAATCCCGTTCTCCAAGGATGACCCTGCTGAGGTTAAAAATGCCTGTGGAATATCTTCCAGCATCACAGCCACATGAAATCCACCACAGTGCAACAAAATGACACACAAATGGTAGACATTAGTGTAGGACAAGATAAAGGAGCAAACGCAGTTAAACCCTAAGCTGCTAACTGAAAAGTCAGCAGTTCGAACCCACCAGCCACTCCATGGGAGAAAGCTATGACTGTATTCTGTACAGTCATATTCTGTAAAGATAACAACCTGGGAAACCCCATGGGCCAATTCTCCTCTGTCCGACCGGCTCACAATATGACAGACAGCAACATGGATTTTTAAATCAAGATATGCACGACAACAATCTCCCAAACTTGGTGGCTTATAAACAATGGAGGCTTCATACCACAGAACCCTCCTGACTCATAGGATCACCTCGAGGTCAGGCTGGAGCCGGCTGAGCATCCACATCTGGAATGCTGTGAGTCACCATGGCAGAGGTAAGGAGAGTCTCTGCTCAACAGCTCACCGCATCACTTCTGGTCACAGCCTCAGGACCCACTGCCCCATCCAAACACTGCTGTTGTTAAGTGCCATCAAGTCTGTTCCAACTCATAGCAACCCTGGTGGGTTTGAACTGCAGACCTTGTGGTTTGTAGTCCACTGCTGATCCTACAGTGGCACACCAGGAATTCCAACACTAGTGTCCAGGAAGTAGAAGGTAGAAAGTTGGGGCTATTTGCTGAACAGCACTGAAGGCAACTTTGGTCAGTTCAGATGCTTCTGAACATGCCTTTAACTGATATGTGACAATTCCAAACCTTATAGAAATTGTTCTGGATTGAACTGTCTTCCCACAAAATATGTGTTGTAAATCCTAATGCCTATGCATAATCCCATTTGAGAATGGATTGTCTTTGTTGTGTCATTGAAGCAGAATTCCTGTAGGGTGTGTCTTAAGTCTCTTGAGATGTGTTGTTGTTGTTGTTATGTGCCATGGAATTGGTTCCGACTCATAGCAACCCTGTACAAGGTTTCTGAGGCTGTAAATCTTTACAGGAGCAGAAAGCCTCAGCTTTCTCCCGCAGAACAGCTGGTAGTTTCAAACTGATGACCATGAGATTAGCAATCCGATTTGTAACCACTACACTACCAGAGCTCTGTTTTTGAGATAAAAAGAGCAAATTAAGCAAGCCACAAAGTAAGAAGCGGAGATGAGGGGAGAAGATGTCAATCCACATGAAGGAGAAAGCCTCAAAAGAGACAAAGACCTTCTTCCAGAGTGGACAGAGAAAGAAAGCCTGCCCCTAGAAACAGCACCCTGTATTTGGCCTTCTAGTTGTCAGAACTGTGAAAACGGTACGTTTCTATGTCATAAAGCCACTATCTTGTGGGATTTCTGTAATCAGACTGAAATGCTAGCGAATGGATCAAAATGAAGCAGCTTCACAACGGGTAAGAACGGACAGTATAGAAGGAACAAATTCACAGGTTCCCATCACACCTGCTCTGACACATACAAAAATCCAGTTTTGCTCAGAAATGTCGGCTTTCATACTGAGAATCACTTTTGTGCATGTGAGAAATAACAATGGTTGGTGACATTTGCCAACCAGAGTCCCTGGGGTATCATCTGCTGAAGTCACTCAGGTCAGTTTCCCTGGGAAAAGGCAAACCATACATACAGTAAACATCTGTGGAATATCACCACGTGCCAGGCACATGAGTGGAAATGATGTTGTTATAAAAGAAAGACGTCTTTGTTATTTACATGCCTTAGCAACTGCCTGGGAAGGAGTTGAATTTGGCCTACGGGAAGGATCATTTTAATGCTTGAAATTTCAAGTAAGATCATGTTGTTGTTACTACGTGTCATCAAGTTGATTCCATGCACAACAAAATGAAACACTGCCTGATCCTGTGCCACCCTTAAAATTCTTGCTATTTTTCAGCCCATTATTGCTGCTTTTGTGCCGATCCATCTTGTTAGAGGTCTTCCTCTTTTTCGCTGACCCTTCATTTTACCTAGCATGATGTTCTTCTCCAGGGAATGGTCCTTCCTGACATATCCAAAGTGCATGAAATGAAATCTCACCATCCTGACGTTCTGGTTGTACTGCTTCCAACACAGCTTTGTTTGTTCTTCTGACAGTTCATGGTACATGCAATATTCTTCTCCAACATCATAATTCAAATGCATCGATTCTTCTACAATCTTCCTGATTCAGTGTCCAACTTTCATATGTATATGAAGCTATTGAAAATACCATGGGTTGAGTCAGGCGCACCTTAGTCCCAAAGTGATATCTTTGCTCTTGAACACTTTAAAGAGGTCTTGTGCAACAGATTTACCTAATACAATGTGTTGTTTGATTTCTTGATTGTTGCTTCCATGAACATGGATTGTGGATCCAAGTAAAATGAAGTCTTTGACAACTTCAGCCTGTCTCCATTTATCAGGACATTATTTATTGGTCTAGTGTAAGCATTTTCATTTTCTTTACATTCATGTGCAATTAGTGCTGAGGCTATGTTGTTATGTGCCGTCGAGTCGGTTCCAACTCATAGAGACCTTGTACAGGGTCTTTGATTTTCATCAGTATTTCAAGTTCTCTATTTCCAGTGAGAAAATAGTGTCATCTGTATATTACAGGTTGTTAATGAGTCTTCTAATACTGATGCCATGTTCTTCTTTATGTAATCCCATTTCTTGGATTATTCTCTCAGCATACAGATTGAATAAATACAATGAAAGTATAAAACCTTGGCAACACCTTTCCTGATTTTAATATCCCCTTGTTCTTTTTGAATGACTGCTTACTGGTCTATGTACAGGTTCCTAATGAGCACAAATAAGTGTTCCCATTTTTTGCAATGTTAGCCATCGTTTGCTATTATCCACACAGTCAAATGCCTCTGCATAGTCAAAAAAGCACAAGTAAACATCTTGTGTGGACCTCACCAGGTGGAATACACAGGAATAAAATTGACTACATCTGTGGGAAGAGATGATGGAGAAGCTCTATATCATCAGCCAAAACAAGGCCATGGACTGACTGAAACAGACCACTAGTTGCTAATATGCAAGTTCAAGCTGAAGCTGAAGAAAATTCAAATAAGTCCACAAAAGCCAAAATATGATCTTGAGACTATCCCATCTGAATTTAGAGATCATCTCAAGAACAGATTTGATGCATTGGACACTAATGACCAAAGACCCGAAAAGTTGTGGAATAACATGAAGAATATCATACATGAAAAAAAACAAAGGTGATTAAAAAGGCAGGAAAGAAAGAAAAAACCAAAATGGATATCAGAAGAGACTCTGACATGTGATCTTCAATATAGAGAGCCTAATGTGACTGGACAGAATGATGAAGTAGAAGAGTTGAACAGAAAATTTCAAAGGGCAACTCAAGAAGACAAGGCTATATTTCAAATTATAATGAAATGTGCAAAGACCTGGAGTTAGAAAAACAAAAGGAAAGAACATGCTCAGCATTTCTCAAGCTGAAAGAACTGAAGAAAAAAATGCAAGCTTTGGGTTGCAAGATTGAAGGATTGTACAGGTAAAATACTGAATGATGTCGGAAGCACCAAAAGAAGATGGAAGGAATACATAGAGTCACTGTACCAAAAAGAAAGATCGATGTTCAACCATTTCAAGAGGAAGCATGTGATCATGAACTGAAAGCACTGGAGAAAAACCAGGTTCCAGAAATTGATGGAATATAAATGGAAATGTTTCAACAAACTGGACATGCTCACTAGTCTATGTTAAGAGATTTGGAAGACAAGTACATTGGAAGAGATCTATATTTGTACCCATCCCAAAGAAAAGTGCCCCAACAGAATATGGATATCATTGCACACTGTCAATATCACATGCAAGTATGATTCTGCTGAAGATAAATAAAAAACTATTGCATCAGTACATTGACAAGTAGCTTCCAGAAATGCAAACTGGATTCAGAAGAGGACATGGAAGGAGAGATATCATTTGCTGACATCAGATAGATCTTGGCTGACTGCAGAGAATGAATACCAGAAAGATATTTACTTGTATTTTATTGACTATTCAAAAGATTTGACTGTGTGGTCATAACAAATTATGGATAATATCATGAAGAATGGC